ATAGCGTCAAAAGATAAAGAGTTTTTTCGACGGGATATCCGAATGTTGCCAGAAAGATAGGGAAAAGTAGTGGCAAATGATGGAAAATACTTTGAATAAAACGTAATGCACTTTTCCTTCACAATAAATTCCTAATTTTTTATAAAAAACCGCGGAAACTTATTTGTACACCTAATATAATAATGAAAATCTTTTCGGATACTCATGTAAACGAAAAAAAAGATTGATATGATTAAAAATTAGACTCAATATTTAATTTAACCTAAAATAATAGATACTCAAAAGAATTTTGCTATTTAAATTTGCTTTTAATAGTAAGTTGTGTTTTCGGTTTAACGTTGCACTCAACTTTCTCATTGTTCATTAAGCATGAACTTAAAAGTGTAACTTTTTTTATGAGCTCTTCAATATCGTTATTGTATAAAATATTAATATAACCTTATTAAAACAATTATATAAATTAGTTACGTCCAAAGCTAGCTATATATTAGACGCTGAAATGTTGCCGAAACAGCAGTTTGCCTGCGACTTTCAGTCTTCCTCACGCAAACGATTAATTGCGCGGTTCCTCGCTCTCGGCAGCTTCGGTAATGATCGACCTCCAGACGAAATGTGCAAGTAAGTCGATGCTGTTTCCCGCGGAGAGTGAGAGACACGTATAGCCTTCCACCTAATATGCGCTTTTGATAAAAGCACATCGCGAAAGTGGAGGGACACAGTTCTTTTCTCTCACGCTCTCACGAGAATTGCTGAACAGGATAAGGGACGACTCGCGAAGCTGAATGAGCAATCTACCCATTGCCTGGTGACATTAATTATCACGCCAGTGGGTGGGCCATTATTGGCTATGTTTCAATTGCGTAACGAACTGGAGAGCACTCCGCGATCGCGAGCGAAACAATAACGAACTACGCGAAACGTTTAAATCGCTATAAATATTAAGAATGTAATACTAATAAAGGAACCGATACCATTAAAAATTAGTAAAGTTTCAACTCGAACTGAAACATTCCGCTAGTTCCTCTCGACTTATGAAGTGTGATTGGCTGTGAGCGGTGCTTTAGGCACACTCCACTATTCTTGTCAACGCAGAACTGCATTTCGATATATCGCAGGAGAAACTAGAAGCCAAAGGTGGCGAAAGGTAATCCGCCACAACAGGTTTTTCCTTTCGATAATCTTCCCTAGCTTCGCTCGCACTGGACCGATTTTCCCAGTAAATTACAGATATACTCGAGATTTCTAAGGGAAAATAAATATTTATAAATTCCGGATGTAATAGATTTAAATAAAAAAATTAACATTTCATTAGTGCTGCAACATACGAGGGAGGGTCTTAGGGGAGTCTTTACAAAAAGAAGGAAAAAAAAGTTTTGCGTATGAAATTTTTTTTACTTTTCAACATAATCTCCTTCAAGGTCGATACATTTTATTAAACGGCCTTCCAGTTTTTTTAAGCCATCAGAAAAATATGATTTCTGAAAACCCTCAAAATAGGCATTTGTTTCGGCGATGACTTCTTCATTTGACGTAGATCGTTGTCCGGCAAGCCATTTTTTGAGGTTAGGAAATAAGAAAAAGTCACTGAGAGCCCAATAAGGCGAATATGGTGGATGGTCAATTAATTTGAACTTTAAATCGTTAATTTTTGCCATCGAAACTGCATACGTGTGAACTCGAGCATTGTCTTGAAGAAAGAGGCATTTTTTTTGTTCCAGTAAAGACGTTTTTCTCTGATTTTTTCTTTTAACTGACCTAATAATGACGCATAATATTGTCCAGTGATCGTCTGGCCCTTTTCCAAGTAGTAGATGTAGATGATTCCATACGCATCCCAGAAAACCGTGGCCATAATCTTGCCAGCTAACTTTACTGTCTTTGCCTTCTTTGGGGCTGGTTCTCCTGCGGTCATCCATTGTTTGGACTGTTCTTTGGTTTAAGGAGTGTAGTGGTATACCCATGTTTCGTCTACATTTACGAGTCGACGCCAAAAGTCTTCCGGATTATGACGTATACGTGCCAAAAGAGCCTTAGACGTGACCACGCGGTTTCATTTGTTTTCAACAGTGAGCAGACGCAGCACTCATCTTGCTGATATTTTTTTCATCCCCAATTTTTCATGCAAAATTGAAATGATTATATCCTTTGATACCCCGGTGGCCACAACTAATTCTCGCAATTTTAATCTTCTATCACTTAACACCATATCGTGGATTTTGTTGACCATTTCGGGTGTACTCACTTTTACGGGGCGTCCTGAACGAGGTTCATCTTTTGTTGTTGTACGGCCGCGTTTAAATTCATTTACCCAGTTATAAACAGTCTTAAACACAGACTTGCCATGAACGCCGTTCAACTCAACTGTGATTTCTTTTGGTGTAAGGCCTTTCAAATGAAAATGTTTTATCACCGCTCGAAACTCTGTTTTTTCCATTTTTCAAATAAACCAATAACTTTTTGTTCAACCAACACTCACAAAAATACGACTTAATGAATCGAGCTTAAACTTTGTATGATATCTAGTTAGTAGTATTGCTTGCCAAAAACATCATAATTTAAGCGTGACAAGCGCCATCTCTTGGAAAAATTATTTTAAGACTAGGTTATATTATGTGAAATAAAAAAAGCAATCCTGAGATAAATCATTATTTTAATTTACTTAAGCATAATGAATAAATTCATATTTTTATATTTAACACAGTTATTCGAATAAATAAATAAAAAAATAAATCGTTAAATAAATAATTTTCGAAGGGGAAAAATCCAAACCTGATATGGAAGAACAAGTAAAAATTATTTTCGGAAAAACTACAGATACATTTTTTTTTATTTCCAGTTTTATTTACAATATGTCTGTATCTGACAATGAGTAAATGATATTATTACGATACTATTTTCTGATTATACAAACTACATTACACAAAGGTATTTTACGATTAATACTAGTACTTTTATTTTACAGAGCTAAATTATACATGTGTAAATGGTGATTTATATTTTTCAAATCTTGTTGTTCTTGGTATTGTGTGAATGAATAACTTCGCTAAGCAATTAGAATGTTATGTTTGTCGTATAATGTACCTTTTATAAGCAATTTCTGTTTCTTATCAGTCCGTATAATCCTTTCTGATTATTTCGTTTATACTAACATATGGTGCATTTATGATAGATTTTAAGGCTTTATTTTGGAATCTTTCAATGATATAAGTGTTTGATTTTGTAGCTGTACCCCAAAGTTGAATACCATGTGTTCATACTGAGTTAAGTATGCTCTTGTACATTAATAGTTTATTTACAGTTGACATTTTAGATTTTCAGTCTAGTAGACAGTAATATTTTCTGATTATATGTTTTAGAATATATTTCAAAAAATTTATCACAAAATCTTTTGTAAGATTTCTAATAGTTTTATACATTATTTCTTGAAATATTTCGAAAAAAAAGTTCCAAAAATATTACTAAAAATTTAATTAAATTTTTTCGTACAGCTTATTGGAAATATTTACTATAAACGTTAACTGCAAAGTTTTTAAGAGATTTTGGACGTGTTTCCAAAGAACGGATACCTTCTTAAGTTTCATGTCTTATTTTTCATTAACAACTTAATCATAGTTACATTTTTACAACTAGGTAACTAAAAATGAGAATTATTATACTGTAGAACCTACTTTCAGAGTCTTAAAAGCAAAAAATTGCATTCCTCGGTTATTTTTTGATTCTAACGCCTGTGACACTATTCTTTAAATTTAACGCGTTCTGGGGAAATATAATTCCCACTAGCAATGCTCTTTACCTCCTCTGAACGGTGACGATGGGCCTCGTCACTAAATTGGCATTTTGGGCTTTGGATTGAAAGGAAGGGAATGACTGGCGCACATAATGATCACTCCCGATAACCGTTAACAATTATTCCTTAACTTTTAACAATCAAAGAGCGACGACGCGAGCTTACGCGTCGTCCTCTGCGGCCACATGCCCGCGCTCGTGCGGATAACCGCACGGGGGCACGTTACAATAATTTGAGAAGGCTACAAAGGAGTGCCTCATTTTGTTCGCTGATTTCGCCGTGCTCGCGGAAGATCGCGAGCACTTCGCCGTCGCGTCGCGCACTCGCGAATAGAGAGAGAGAAAGAGAGAGACGACCTGACCTAGTGAAGGCTGCTGGCAGGAATCACTGCTAGTGCTGCTGGCAGGAAATACTGCAGAAACTGCTGGCAGGCACGAATGGATTCCACGATGCCTCAGGTGTCGATGGAAATCCTCTCCGGGATGTACTCTGTTTTGCGTCGTCTAGCTCCCTTGTCTCGGCTTGACTATTTGGTTTTCTCTCGCGTGCGCACGCTCGGCCGTCAAATCGATTCGTCTATCTCAAGATCTTGGCTCGAACTCTCTCCCCAACCATTCGCGCGCCGGCTCGAGCAAAGCCGGCGGCTTCGCTCTCGCGAGCGGATCGCCGCGTGTCGCTCGCGCTCGCGCTCGCTTATTTTCTACTCACGACCGGTCAATTTATCTCTCTTCTTCTTGCCGCAGCCGCTCTCGCTCCTAATTGGCTCCCAGTGATGATGCCTTACTCAGGTATTGGCCCTGAAATAAAGCGGTACGAGTATCGGTATCGGTTCGTAATTTCTAAACGCTCGCTAGGGCAACAGCGAAGGAGCGAGGCTGCGAGAGAGAGAGAGAGAGAGAGAGAGAGAGAGAGAAAGAGAGAGAGAGAGCCAGACAGACAGGGCCGGCTATTCCAGCCATGGCCCCGTCACACGCCTTCTACATAGGTTCCATGATCAAATTAAATGAGCTATTACATCCATGCCTCGGAAAATCTTCTTGTTATTGCTAAAGCTTAATCAAATCATTCGAAAAAAATCTTCTATTACCATACTATTAGAAGAACAACATTTTCCGTATTTAAATACAGCCTATCGCATTTAATTTTGTGAAAACCGATGTGTTAAAATGTTATAGAAACCCCAATTAATTCTATTTATTTTATTTAAATATAGGAAGGAGAAAAGAAAATGAAAGAAATTCAAGAAGAGAAGGAAAAAAAAGATATAAATAAGAATTCCGAAGCTAGTGTGGGAGAAAAAGAAAATGATGATGAGGATGAGGATGACGAAGATGAAACACAAGAAAATGCGATACCGGAAATTGAGGTAAGATAAATTATTGTCCTACACTTTTATATACTACAGGTCAATAGATAAAAGGATAATTTTACTTTTTTTATAAATGCATTAATATGTATTGAAGGTCGATACATTTTAGTAAACGGCCTTCCAGTTTTTTTAAGCCATCAGAAAAATATGATTTCTGAAAACCCTCAAAATAGGCATTTGTTTCGGCGATGACTTCTTCATTTGACGTAGATCGTTGTCCGGCAAGCCATTTTTTGAGGTTAGGAAATAAGAAAAAGTCACTGAGAGCCCAATAAGGCGAATATGGTGGATGGTCAATTACTTCGAACTTTAAATCGTTAATTTTTGCCATCGAAACTGCATACGTGTGAACTCGAGCATTGTCTTGAAGAAAGAGGCATTTTTTTTGTTCCAGTGAAGACGTTTTTCTCTGATTTTTTCTTTTAGCTGACCTAATAATGACGCATAATATTGTCCAGTGATCGTCTGGCCCTTTTCCAAGTAGTAGATGTAGATGATTCCATACGCATCCCAGAAAACCGTGGCCATAATCTTGCCAGCTGACGTTACTGTCTTTGCCTCCTTTGGGGCTGGTTCTCCTGCGGTCATCCATTGTTTGGACTGTTCTTTGGTTTAAGGAGTGTAGTGGTATACCCATGTTTCGTCTACATTTACGAGTCGACGCCAAAAGTCTTCCGGATTACGACGTATACGTGCCAAAAGAGCCTTAGACGTGACCACGCGGTTTCGTTTGTTTTCAACAGTGAGCAGACGCAGCACTTATCTTGCTGATATTTTTTTCATCCCCAATTTTTCATGCAAAATTGAAATGATTATATCCTTTGATACCCCGGTGGCCACAACTAATTCTCGCAATTTTAATCGTCTATCACTTAACACCATATCGTGGATTTTGTTGACCATTTCGGGTGTACTCACTTCTACGGGGCATCCTGAACGAGGTTCATCTTTTGTTGTTGTACGGCCGCGTTTAAATTCATTTACCCAGTTATAAACAGTCTTAAACACAGACTTGCCATGAACGCCGTTCAACTCAATTGTGATTTCTTTTAGTGTAAGGCCTTTCAAATGAAAATGTTTTATCACCGCTCGAAACTCTGTTTTTTCCATTTTTCAAATAAACCAATAACTTTTTGTTCAACCAATGCTCACAAAAAAACGACTTAATGAATCGAGCTGAAACTTTGTACGATATCTAGTTAGTAGTATTGCTTGCCAAAAACATCATAATTTAAGCGTGACGAGCGCCATTTCTTGGATTTAGTAAAGACTTATTGACCCCCCCCTCGTATAATGAATGATTATGTTAAACACTTATACACTGTTATTATCATTTAATTTTTTTTGCTTATAAGTACTTTTTTTGTGTCTGGTATTGACAAATCAATAATTACAATTAACTGCAAATAACAATTACTAATTTCTTGTTTCAATAGGTTATTAGTGATAACTGGTATTTACAGTTATTTATAGTTATTTGCATCTATTATTTCTTCGCATCTATTATTGCATCGTATTTTATATCTTTGCATCTATTATTGCATCTATTATTCCATCATATTTTCTGGGATTCGCATTTTTATCATTACAAGTCGTCTGAACTCGTAGTTCGGATTTTTAACTTAATTTTTTAATTACGAGGTGAACAATTGATTAAAATTTATTAATGAGAGGCTTCACATATAAAGGCAAACAAAACTAAATTTCACATCACGAATGTGATAATCAGATCAATCTGTATTTAACACGTATGACAATGCAGTTCCACACCTATGTAAGTGCAGTAAAATATAAGAGTCAATCTTATATGATCATAAAGAGACAGAGAGAGCTAAAGAGATGACTGTGAATAAACGCACTCGATGTACTCTCATCTTTATTGGTACAACACACCTAAGCACGAATTCACGAAACGCGATTATTCAAGATTAATAGCGATTCACGTTCCTCGACGAACCGCGTGACCGAGAAAAGAATAGTTAACGCATCTTATCACGTTCTTCAATGCCAAGATAAGAAGGACAACACCTACTGAACGGCGACTTGGAGACCTCCAAGTAAAATATTCGTTGTTAATACTCTCTCCTTTACTCTGAAATTAATCATGTTCTCTCTGTCTGTCTTTCTTCCTCTCTCTCTTTCTCTCGCTCTCTCTCTCTCTCTCTCTTTCTCTCGCTCTCTCTTTTTCTCTCGTTCTCTCAACCCCACGTCTTCCTTCTTCCTCCTTTGGTCTTTGATACTTGCTCTGCAGTCACTCTTAACTCTCCGGTACTGTAGCGAATATACTAGACAACAACCCGAGGTGAAAGAACATATTAACACATGCGGCACTCAAACTGGTTGGAGTGATCGATCGGTAGAGCTAATCATACGAAGTATATCGAGACTTGATATAATTCACGTCATAAATTAGAAAAAAAAATTTTTTCTTATCTTAGTAGGGACAGGTTAAATTATTATAAATTATTGATATAGCCTTAATGAAGAAACATCGAAAAACTCAATTGTTTCTTTTCAAATGAAAAGAATATTCTTCAACCATGATCATTTTTAAATATTCTGATTTATTTCCTTAGTCAACCTAGATACTTATATGTATGTAAATTGCTAGTATTATGACAGGCATGAACAAGTGTCGCTCAAATAGTAGAGTTAGATCTAAAGAACGCTGGTTCGATTTCCTACCTGTTCTTTAATTTTGTAAACTCAATCTCTACTATATTTTTTTACAACTAAGTGCTGATCTTCATAATTTTTTCCAAAGTTGCTGCGTTAGTGCTGAATTTATTTCTATTGATAATTCCGTCTTATCATTTAAGCCGTTAAAGTCCAGACAAAGATTGATCTAGATAACATGAAACAAACTATGCCATTCATAGTATAATCAAAAATAAAAATACCAGTGTTTTTTCCTTTGTCATTTGCAATTGTTTATAAAAAATGATTTAAGCAAATCACTCTGAAGGTCGCAATTTTGAAAAATAAATTTTACCATTCGATTCTACGGGCAAAATTACGAAAAAATCCTCTACAGCATTTTTACAGAGAGTTCAAATTGTTAGTGTAAAATATTGATAAATAATCAAATGATGAAAGGTAAAAGTTGTTACATCAAATTTTAAGCAAAACTGTGACAAGATATCGTTAAGATAACTATGTCATTCATAGCATATAGAACCTAAAAATATTTAATATTATTTAAACAAATAACTCTTAAGGTTACTAATTTGAAAAATAATTTCTTCGTAATTTTTCCCCCAGAATCGATTAGTGAAATTTGTTTTTTATAATTTTAACCCAGAAGGTAATTTGTAAAAATAATTTTTATAAATAATTTCAAGGAGTGGGTTTCGACTCGTGGAAGAGAGTGGACATGTCTTGGCTGTGAGTGCGAGTTTTGGTGAGAAAGTTAGAGAGGAAAACTGTTTGAGGGGAGAGATAGAGGTGGAAAGAGGGTGGTGGCGGAAGAGAAGTGGAGCAGAGAGAGGTTTGGAGAAGATCAAGAAAAAGTAGAGAGAGAGGAATAAAGAAGAAAGGAAAGTTGAGGTTAAGAGAGAAAATCAGGAAGTGGAAAAGGCAGATAGAGAGGAGGGGCGGTAAGAAGTAAAGGTGGAGACAGAAAAGGTAAGACAGGGAATAAAGGTGGGATCACGTGCAGAATTAGAGAGACGAATTAAGGCGTACGGGTTAGTAATGGAAAGGTTTGTGACAACAAGAAAAATGAGAGATAAGGATGGAAGGATGGATAAGAAAGGTACAGAGGAGGAAAAGAAGAAAAGAGTAAAGGTGGTGAGGGGGAGAGAGAGCGGAGAGGGGCTGAGGGAGAATATTAGAGGAGAAATGAGAGAGGCAAAAAGATGCAAGAGCGAAACTCTGGGGAACGAGATGGAGGGTAGGGGGGGAGAGGGATTGGACAACACGA